TTAAAACGACTAAACCGACAATTCCGGAAGCAGAATCGGATGATTAAAACGCACCTGATATTTTGCTTGCTGCTGTCAGTGTCAGTGAATATTATTTTTGAAGTCACAGTTTATTGCTAAAGAATCAGTTAGCTCACTCGGACCAGTTGAAAGTTCCAAAATAACATCCACTCCAGGGATACAAATTCAGGATACGCAGAAGACTGCTGTTTTATTATAGGCGGTTGTCATATATTGTATTATCCGAATTGCAGTGTATAAACTGAAACATTGAGATTAAAAGTGCCGACGCAGAGTGAGCGATCTAATTCTTTAGCTGTAAACTGTGTCACAGGGTTCAAAATGGCCGCGCCCTATGTTGGGCGTGTCGGACCTCTCTCTTGCCTCGTATATTTTGGGATAATTTGACATACCTAACCTATAATTTGACTAGTTTTTTTTCTTATTCTTCTTCTATTCCTTTTGCGGGCAATGTCATTCGGGACAATTCACCCATAATTTGATTTTTTTATGAAAGAAAATATAAAAATAGAAACGTGAAGTATATTATGTCTTCACGAATATAGTAATGCTATTCAATACTACCTAAATAAATAAAAAAAACTTCCCATCGTAACTTGAGGGCTATATCCTATCTAGTAAAATAATACAGATCAGTGGTTAGAGCACATTATTCATCCCCTCCCATTTTTCTTTATTGCACTCCTCTTCTTCACTGGCAGTTTGACTGTTTTAATTGATATGTGAAAGCGTTCGAGTGAAAACCTTAATTTTAACAGTGAATATTTATTATTTTACTTTTTTTTAAGAAAAATTTATGGATCCTAGTATAGCAGGTAATTACACAATATCTGTAATATTTTTTTTATAATTTTTATCATTTTTAAGATTGTCTTAGTGCATTGAAAGTTACAAGTAATATAGCATATTTTTGAGCGATGATTTGGGTTCAATAAAGAATTATTTATAAGATAAAGGTATATCATGTTATAATTCTTATTACATACGAAAGGTTAGTAATCAAAAAATTAGCCGCGGAAAATCGCAGATAAGTACTTTTTCAGCACTTCGCATTTTTTGTCGATAAGATCTATTACTTATTACTAGGAGAAAAATAAAAATATGGTATATTTTTACAAAAAGAATGTGAATTATGGATTTTTAATTTACTGTTAATTAGCAAATAAGCTGAATTTTTAAAATTATTTATTTGAAGTTTTTACTTTAGTGCCCTTATTTTCTATATGTAAACTTTTCAAAACTATCGCTAAAAGAGTGGTTTTCAGCCAAAATATGATTGGCAAATGTAAAGTTATTAAAACTATTATGATGTTCAGATGATATTTTTTGAAAGTACTGCCGGTTTGACCAATATACATATTTTGACAACCACCAAAATTTAATTTTTATACAATTAATTTTGCCTTTAGTTTTTATATGGTTCCCACTATCTACAAACACTTGAAATAAATATAGATTTAAGATTATCTGCTAATGACCCATTAGAAATCAATAATTCTCCTTTACCTAATCATTTTAACAGATTCTTACAGCCGTAGCATAGTCGATCGCCAGCGATTCGCCAGATATTCATCCCGGCGGTATCAGCAGCGATCCGCTGGCGAAAGCCCGAAAAGGTGGCGACTTGCTGGATATTGTCACTGGCAGGTCATCTCTCGGAAGTTTTCAGGTTCTTTTATATGAAAAAAAAATAGTTTTCATGTTCTTTTATAGGGAAAACTTTGATATTCGTTCATTGTTTTTTGAGTTTTAAGAAATGAATCATGAATAACATGCAAGATATGCTGGTGACAATCTCCAGCAGGTCGCCACTTTTTCGGACTTTCGCCAAACGGATCGCTGGTGATACACCGAGTTGAATCTCTGGCGAATCGTTGGCGATCGACTATGCATACGAGTGTTAGTAATATGTGCGATAATCCCCATTAATGGTAAAACATTACACTAATTTAAACTCATTAACCACTTAATTACTTTAACCATTATTGTTAAAATTTAGATGAATATAATGATCAATTTGAAATCAATAATTTACCTTTACTTAATCATTTAAGTGGTTCTTAGTATTATATGAGATAATTTCAGTAATGGTAACATATTTTTACTCGCAGTAATTTAATCCCATTAATTGCTTTGACCCCTATTGTTAGTTTTTGGTTTTTCTCCTAGTTATGATTATGGATTTTAATAAAGTAACAAACAGTAATCTAAAAATTATGATTGATGTTAAATACATTTTTAAAGAATTTATTTTTATTTAGGTTCACAAAGTACCTCGGGTGTAAGAATTGTGACCCGTAAATATTTGTTCTGTCGCATGCAGAATCTATATTTACTTAGTTTGGAAGAAAAACTAGATTTCTTAAAAGAATAACTTTTGTCGTGCGAAGGATACACCGAAGACCACATTGAATGTTTGAAACCCAGTTACGTATCCTTTAAGTCTCAAGTGAAAGAAAGGTGGTTGAAAGCACATAAAAAGGAAGACGTATTTTACAAATACAATGATGCATGGCTAAACGGAACTTTTAAGATTCCCGTGGTTACACAAAATCGGCCAGGCCGGCCACGTAAGTTAAGTAATCGAACTAAAAGGAGGAAAACTGAGGAGATTCGATCTACTTCAAAAAAAGAAGTAATCATATGCTGCTTAAGTAGAATTGCGGAAAACTGGAAAACGAGATGCCTCCGATGTACTAAAAGATCTCACCAGTTCTCCAACGCGTGCAACTAAATATAAAAAAGCATTTTCTAAATCACAAAGTGAAGAAACTTGCTCTTTTACTCCATTAGAAGCATTGGCAATGTTCGTAGAAGTTGATTTAACTCATTGGCAATATGAAATATTTAGAAATACTAATAACAAATTATTCCCTTGTTCATTGCTATCCACCCGAAGAATCATGCAGAGTAACTAGTACCTGTACGGAGAGTGATTTACAGCCTTTAGTTGACCTTACAGTTATGCGCTTGTCAATATTCCTAGAAGAGGTCCTGATATTATTAAAAGAACAGGATCGAGATGACCTGAAGATAATTTGTACATGGGGTTGCGATGGATCTCAGCAATCTCAGTTCAAACAAAAATTTGAAAATAATGCCGACTTAGACGCGTACATATTTCAGAGCTGTTTCGTTCCTCTGCGATAGGTTTGTGGTAAAGATGAAAAAATTATATGAACAAACCCAACACCCTCTTCTCCACGGTATTGTCGATCTATAAGATTCCAATTCGTTAAAGAGACTCTGATATAACGGAAGAAGAAATAACTTTTGTGAAAAATTCTGCTAAACGCTAAACGCAACAGAGGTGGACTTAAATTGAATACAATTTTTGGTTAATCATGTGTTCATTATGACAATGGTAGACGAAAAGGTCTGTAATGCTGCGACTGGTACAAAATCCACAAACCGATGTTACATATGTGGTGCAACCTCTAAGACAGTGGTTCTTAACCTTTTAGTGACGAGGGACTATTTGACAAAATTTCTGCCTTGCCATGGATCACCAACTGTTTGGAGGTAATATACAGTAAACGAATAAAGGGTTGTTCTATCCATAAATAAAACAGGCAAAAAATTGTTCAAAGCCAACAGTATTTTAATTTATTTACGAAAATGTTACATTATAGAAAAAATATTTTAATGAGATTTTTGTGATTGCATACTGTTTGCTAACTTCTGAATCCTTGGTTCAGTGATATTTAAAGCCAAACGCATGTCGGCACTGGCATCCAGCCGATTTCTGTGCTTGATTTTAATTATCAGAAGCGCCGGGAAATCCTGCTCTCAAAGATATGTCGATGAAAACAAAGTTAGGTAACGTATAGCAATTTCTCGAACATTTGGGCAAAAAATTGCCTTTTAACACCAAAATTTTTAAGATTAATTCCTTTTTCGAATGTGCGTCATAATTGCAGATGGATTTTTTGTTTTTATCAATGCTACAAGACCAGAACGGGAACCAAGCATAGCAGGTGCATCGTCCGTACAAAACCCCGCAAGCTTTTGCCACATAAGTCCATGTTTCTCCAAATATTGACTTATTACATCCATAACATCTGCTCCTTGAGATGTCGTTCTCAGTTCTTCAGTAAATAGTAACTCATCTTTAAACGTTTTATTGTTATTCAAAAATCGAATAAATACAAGTAATTGACAACATTGTGTTAGGACGGTAGATTCATTACATTGTAGCGCAAAATAAGGACTACATTTTATCTTGTCAATAATTTGTTCTTCAATATCATTTGACATTTTTTGAATACGCGACTTCACTGTGTCGTTTGAAAGTGGTATTTTATGAATTTTCTTTTGAGTTTCCTGTCCTAAAAGCTCTTCTGCATCTTTAAGCATACAAGGCTTTATTAGGGATTCACCGATTGTGTGTGCTTTTTTGGATATGGTAATGAAATTTCATACGATACAAATAATGTTTTTCCAGATGTTGCATAACTTGTTCCACTGGGTCCAAGTTTTATTTTTTTTAGATTTATTAGTTGGACTATTACTAACTAATTAAAACAAAATGAGAATGAAACGAACCGATTGAAACACTGGATGCTCGCTGCACGTGTCACGCACATCCCCTCTTTCCGGCTTGCTACTGATTTTTGATGTCTACTGATTTAGAATGTATATTTCTTTATATTAAAATTTAAATCCACCGATTTCTCATTATGTCTGCTGATTTTCTACGACTCCAGCGCGTCTCACGCCACGCGTCGTTGTGTCGACTCGTTTTCACTTTTCATGGACCACTTTGGGAGCTACCAGGGACCACCACCAGTGGTCCGCGGACCACGGGTTAAGAACCACTGCTCTAAGGACTTCAACCAATTAGATTTTAAAAACCAGATTAATCATGAAGCTACAGAGTTTGGGATTTCAATTCTACATGCAAGAATTCGTCTTTTTGAAAGCATTCTCCACTTGGCTTATAAATTGACAGTGAAAAAATACCGAGAGAGAAAACAGAAATGGAAAAAAATATTGAAAAAGAAAGAAATCTGGAAATCCAGAAAAGATTTCGCAATGAAACTGGTTTGTTGGTAGATATACCAAAGGCAAATTTTGGCAACACAAATGATGGAAACACGCGCCGAAGATTTTTTGAAGACCCGAAAGTAGCTTCCAAAATAACGGGCATTAGTTATGACCTAATTTATAAATTAAAGGTCATACTAGAAACGATTTCGAGCGAACATATAATTGATCCGGAAAAATATGACAAATACGCATTAGAAGCTGCTCGCTTATATATGCAGCTGTACCCTTGGCACCCAATGACACCAGCAATGCACAAAATACTTATTCATGGTGCAGTTATAACAGAAACTGCATTGTTGCCTATTGGGCAGCTGTCTGAAGAAGAATTCGCGGAAGCAGGTAACAAGCATTTCCGATCATACCCCCAAGACTTCGCGAGAAAATTCTCTAGAGAAAATTGTAACATGGATATTTTTAATCACCTGCTTCTAAGTTCAGACCCCCTTTTAAGTAGCATGAAGAACTTTAAAAGAAGAAAAATGAAGTCTTTTTTGCCAGAAAAAATTAATTTACTAATGTCTGCAAAGCCGCTTGAAGCTGGCAATGTTAGATAAAATTGTATATCTATATTTTTATATTAATAAATATAGGTTAATTAAACATTAAAACCTTTGTTTAATTTATTAATATCGTTAAGAATTGATATAGACCAAAAAAATAATTGTGCGTCGGTCTACCGGTCAAAAGACCGGTAGGCCCTCGTTCAGGTAGTGGACTCTCGTTCAGGCAGTGGACCCTCGTTCAGTAAATGGGCCCTCGTTCAGTAAAAAGGCTCTCGTGAATTATATGCAAGAAACCCCGTAATACGTGAGAAGACCTTTTTTTGCTCTTCAATGAAAATTGGACAATGAAAAATGTGGGCTGTTCTCCCTCCTGACCTGTAGGCCGTGGATGTCTCAATCCGACACTTTGGGCATGCCTCGTATCTCTATCTTTGTCAGTCAAGGTCTACTTTAGAAACATTTTTTAAAAATCACTCCTTATTATTAGTTATTTCTACACGTTTAATACGGACGATTAAAATTTTTTGCACCACATTACGTCATTCTCGAACCAAACGAGATTTCGTCGGCAAAGTATCATACCTGTTATTTTTTGTATCATGGATAGTGTCAGAATAGATTAGTGAAATTTTGGAGAGGCGAAGGTCCAACATTGAAGCGATACCGGCGTTGGAAATAGAAGATGATGATGAAACACATTTTAATTTCTAAATATACCTTACCTACATTCTTGTTGCATACTTTTGAAACAATTCACTGTTTAACTAATACTTTCAAGGGTACATATATGGCTAATTTTTTTTAATTTAGTATTAAAAAGGTAATATGAATTAAATATGTAACTGACATGATTTAGCTCAATAATAGGCTGATAAGTAGCCATTTAAACATACAATACATTAGAAATAATTACAATGTAACAGTGACTAACAGAAGCGAGTGAATAAATAGATTAAAATAATTCTTCGCCGAATCAATAGTACACGGACAGAATAAACTTGAAAAAGCAGGCAGTAACGTAGGATACAATTGGTTTTTGGATTCGCACTTTTGAAAGTAATATTGCTTTGAATCTTGTACAGCATTTACAAAGTTGGGTAGTATCTGGATACTTCTGTATCCGGATACAGTATCCAGATACAGTATCCGGATACTTTATGTGTATCCGAAAGCTGTATCCGGATACTTTTCAAATTTTGTATCCGGTATCCGTATCCGTGACCAAATTTGTAAGTATCCAGATACCGGCTACTTTTTGTCGGCAATCGGATACTTTTAAATTATTTACCATAATCGTAAGAGCTAAAATAATTTTTTTTTGTAGGAGAGCTATTCGAAAGTTTTGTTTTTAAGGAATATGTGCCCTGCCCCCTGCCGTAATATTTTATTTATATTTCTCAAGCGATTTAAATAAAAGTTTGGAAGAACATTTTATAGGAAATTTTCTATTCATTTTTATTTATAAAACTTACAATTTTTTAATATTTGATTTGAATAGACAATTTTTTTTATTTATACCATTTTTTTAAACACTGATTTTATAACCTTATTTTATACGTTAAGAGGACCTTTAAAAAATACCTAATTTATATTTCTCAAGCGATTTAAATGAATTTAAAGTACAGATTGTTGAAATCTCCTTGGATGCCAGAAAAGACATTCAAGTTTCCAGTAAGTGACGATAAAAGAAAACTAAAATTTCAAATGCAATGGTTTGAACTGTTCACGTGGTTGGTTTACACGAGTACAAGGCATATATTGTGTATTATTTGCCAGAGATTGCGCTGATAAAGATTCTCATCAGCAGTTGAATCCTTACTTACTCAGCCGCTCCCTAAATGGAAAGATGCTGTACATGATTTCAAACATCACAGTGAAGCCAGTACCACAAATCTTCTGTATTATTGGCTGATAATTTTATAAAGCTGTAAAATAAATCTCAACCAAATATATAATAAGTCATATTGATAGCGGATACCTAGCGCAAATAGCTGAAAATGGGAAACGGTTCATTCCGATTATTAAAACACTGAGAGGTACGTGCGACTCAGGTCCAATAAAAGTTAATGATGCTGAGCCAGAAACAAATGATGGAAACTTTCGTGCTATCTTGCGGATGAGAAACAGATGTGGAGACTCAAATCTAATAAAGCACACAAAAAATATGACGTTGAACGCTACCTACCTAAGCCCGGCCATACAAAATGAACTTATTGCAATTTGTGGTGAAATAATCCAGAAAAAAATTGTGCAAGGATTAAATTCTACGAAATTTTTTTCAATCCTTGTTCACGAAACTACCGATGTTTCACGACAAGAACAGATGTCCATTTGTCTAAGATATGCCGAGCCAAAAGATAATGGTTTTTTCTTGCGTGAAGATTTTTTAACTTTTGTAACAGTTGAAAATACAAAAGGAAGATATTTAGCTATTGCAATTTTATCTGAATTAAAATCTTTGGGAGTAGATTGCGAATATGCGATGAAAGGAAGTTTTAAAGGTGAGCAGGCAGTAATTCGCGAGTCACATCCAGAAGCCTTATACGTTCATTGCAGCTCACATTTAATGAATTTAGCTCTGGGTCATTCTTGCCAGGTTCAGCCTATTAAAGATAATATCGAAAAAAAATTCCCTGAAACACAATGGAAAAACCTTACGGCAATGTGCGAGACCCGCTGGGTAGAAAATCATGATGGGTTGTTAAGATTTAATGAAACTTGATACACTAGACGACTTAAGCACTGACATGGATTCTGAAACATCGTCAAAGGCTAATTCTTTTCTGAGATCAGTCATTTCAAGTGATTTTTTATAAGCTTATGTTGCTTAGGAATGTTGTTCCCGTACACACTGACACTATGCAAAATACTTCAATTGCCCCTATGCGATTTGGCAGCAGCTTCACAACATGTCGATTTAATAATTATAAAGAATATTGAAGATGTTCGCCAAAATATTGATTCAAAATTTGCTGAACTTTTCAAGAATGCACAGAATTTGCTCAGTACTGTAAACGAAGAAATGAAAATTCCGCGAATAACGTCACGGCAAGAGCATAAGGCAAACTAAAATACAAAAGATCCTGAAACTTATTTTAGACTTACTATAATGATTCCACTTTTGGATGATTTCATTGATCAGCTTTAGTTGAGATTCCAAATTCATAAAGCCACATTATCATCTCTCCACATTTTAATTCCGTCTGTGTATTGCAAGGAACAAATTATTCAAAATTATCAAGAAAACTACTTTGAGCTCTATAAAAAATATTTGGAATGGGACTTTGTAAAAGCTGAATTAGACAATTAGACACGGATAAAATTGGTGGAAGAATCTAAACTAGATCGACCAACATTCACAAACTTTTAAAGATCTTGGCGACACTGCCTGTTTCTACATGTGCTCCTGAGAGGACTTTCTCATCTTTGAAACGCCTTAAAACTTATTTAAGAAACTCCACAGGCCAGGAAAGACTAAACGGCTTGGCCTTAATCTCAATCCACCGTAGAATTGACATCGACACCGAGGAGGTAGGTAACGCAAAACTTTTTAATTAATAAATGCAAAGTGCTTTCGGTATTGTGCCATTATCAGTGCTTATCTACAAAAATTGTGGATGTAAACATACAATTTATAAATATGTGTAAAAATAAAATCTGAGTAAAACTTTTAAGTTAAAAGTTAAAATTATATATATAAGGTAATTTTGAACAAATTAACAATTAAAAGATAACAAACATACATACATAACCCAGTGTTGAGAATAGTGAGTGTGGGATAAGCACCAAAAAAATATCTGATCTCTAGAAGCAAGTTAGCTTGTGTGGAACTAAGGAATTATACCACCTTCATTATTCGCATTGAGTACAGTTGAAAACAAGTTAATAAATTAGTTAAAATTTAAAAAAAAAATACAAATAGAGGGTGACTGTGGAAAATATGTTGAAATTTAAATTTAGAATACAATAGTTAATATGAAAAAGGTTAAACGCAAAAGGACATTATAATTGTAAAAAAGTCTACCTACTGTCCACAAACATATCCAACAAGTTCTTAGTCATCCTCGCTCCCAAAATTAGATATTTCAGGATATTCACAACATGCTTAATCATAATTACAAAAAAAAAATACTACTATTAGTAATATTTTCAAATTTAAATTGCTTTATACATTAATTTTTATTAATATTAGGCATTCCAAACAAATGAATTGCCAGTGGGAAGGTTTGGTATATCTAAGGGTGGCGACATACGGTGTATTCTATCTACTTTACGTAAAATCATGAATAATGAATAACATTTAAATATTTTATGTCAAACACAATAAAAATAATATTTAAAAAACCCACCTATACATTTCTTCATAAATTGGCAGGCTTGGCGACTACTACTTCGAATAAAAATAGCGTCCAAGTTGCAAGATTATGTCGCTACCCCCCTTAGATATACAAGAATTTCCCACTGGCACCTATTAGGCATTCCAAACAAATGAATTACCAGTGGGCAGGTTTGGTATATCTAAGGGTGGCGACATATGGTGTATTCTATCTACTTTACGTAAAATCATGAATAATGGATTACATTTAAATATTTTATGTCAAACACAATAAAAATAATATTTAAAAACCCACCTATACATTTTTTCATAAATTGGCAGGCTTGGCGAGTACTACTTCGAATAAAAATAGTGTCCAAGTTGCAAGACTACCCCCTTAAATATACAAGAATTTCCCACTGGCACCTATTGTTTGACAGATCGTTGGAATGCCTAATTGTTTAACCGTGTCCATATGACAGTGGTGACAAGCGACACAAAGACGTTGACCTGTCAAATGTCAAGAGAGGAGGTGCGTTCACCTCAGTGTGGAACGTGTTTCTCCAAGTGTGATTCGAGTGATTGGAGGTGGTTAAAGGAAATCAAAATTTGTTAGTATTGAATATAAAGAAAATTTTTCCAAATTTGATTTATTTGTTAGTTAAATTTAAATAAATGTTTTATATGAATTGATCTTTTTAATGATCCTTACAATGTCAAGACAAAACAAAAATAT